AATGGGACGGGGGCCTATCTGACCTTTGTTTGATTCAAAATTCCAACCCTTTCTGTGCCTGGAAAAAGCAAACAAGGAAGGAAAGGGCTGAAATCTCAATATCTGATCCAGGAAAAAACCCTTACCTTAGCAGTGATAGAGATAGCATAGCTGTAGACAGGGGTCTATTCCAATAGCCGGCAGTCGGGCTATTATGCCTATTCAATATATTCATTCCGATTGTGATACAATTCCATTTCTAATAGAATGCCATCTTTAGCAAAAGCAAAGGAGAAATGATCTACGAATGCCGGGCATGATGTCTTACCCGAGCTGAGTGCGCTGTTTTACAGAGAGAGGTACAGTACCGGAGTCAGAATCGAGAAGAGCAGTTGAAGGAAAAAGCCGTATTTAAGGTAAAGGGCTAAAGTAAAGAGAGCTTTTGAAGTGAAGCTAGCTTTTTTCATACACAAGGTATAGAGGCTTTCCTTTCACCACGATCTTTCTCCAAACACAAAAAATAGGTGCCTTTCTTTGGCTAGCCATTCACCACCCCTGAGTGAACAGTCGACTCAAAAGAGCAATTAAAGTGAAAGATTGAAAACAAGATAAGAGTCAGGGCCCCTTAACCCATCGCGAACTTCGTTCACTGCGATATAAGAATAGAAAGTCTAGCTTTTACACGGGAACGGAACGAGCCGGAGCGAAGGAGTGATTGTACCACAGCTTGCTTCGAGACTGAAAGGAAAAGTGATCCTATTCCTCACTGCACTGCTCATCTGACTTTTCCCTGGATGCTCCTTGTCTGATTTCGGCGCTGTAAGACTTGCTGTTATAGACGGAATCAAACTCCATGATGGCTTGAATAGCTTCCCTGTCCACGCTAATATACGACCCTTTTCTCTTTGGTGACAGATCGAAATTGACTGAAATATAGGAGTTGTACACAAGGTCCTACCAAAGAAAGCCCTAAGGGAAACCCATAGAATATACGAGATAGAACTTGGGGGAGAAAGAGACATTAATCCGTATTGTCAGAACAGATCAACGGAGGCATACCGTGCCACCGGGCTTCGGGGGTGACGGGAGCGCGCCGTACTGTATGGAGGAAGGAAAGTCTACCCATGCCATCCAGTCGAGCCACAACCACTGGCCCTAGTAGGGGCTCGCTGCCTATGCCAAATGATCCTTCTTTGGTACTACCTTCCTGACTAGTCTTGCCTATGGAAATGAATAGTCAAACCAACTTCCTCAAGACCGTGAACACTTTCGTTTGTTGGGCATACTTCTTCGACAGCAAGAGACCTTCCTTCATGGCTAGGCCGAGCTTCCATAGCGGGATCTATGTCTTTGTCTTTGCTACAGTAAGTCGTATGCGCTTGTAGGTGAGAAATGGGCTTGACTCGGCCGCATTAACTAAAATAGAATTCCTAACAATGCTCATTTCAAGGTCTGATTCTCTGTCTTTACCGCTATTGATGTCAAACTTTCCTATGTGGCTGCTCTGGTCCGCCCTTTACTTACTTTACCAGTTGGTAATTTGTCTAGTGCCAGTTCCCTTTCTTTTGAGAGAGGAGTGTAAGCCAATGCTAAGGTCTTCACCTCCAGCCAATCTTAACGGGGTATTCCAATCTAGCTGCTTCTAGGTCAAAAGCAGGTTCGCTAGCACTCTTTTCAAGCAAGCCAGTATGTATTCTTAAAAATGGGTAAGGCAAAGAAAAAAGGTATATCTGAAGTTCCTGCCAGAAAGTGAAGTGAGCTCTCCAGTATCAGAAGAGTCATTGACAGATAAAGGGAGTTCCTTTTAAGCCAGGGAGAATCGAATTCCTTCCGCATTCGATCAAGTTGCAGACCCAGTAGGAGTTTTCAATCTCTCAGGCCAGGGCAAGCGAATCCACATTATATGAGCAAAGAAAGGTCTGAGCGAGACTCCATCCTTTATTATGAAATAAAAACTCGTCCCCGGAGGAGAAGGAACCGCACCCTTACTCGAGTGTGGGTATTCAGTATTCGGATCTGTCTCCTGGCTATAGTTTAAGGCCCGTTTCATACTTCTCTCTTGAAAGGAGAAGAGATAGATCGCTTACAGCAAACGGAGGTTCTTCAAAGCCTATTCAAAAAGAACTTTTGAGAGAGAGAACGTCACCCACTTCTCTATTTTCTTTCCTTATGGATAAGTTCAGGTTTATACTTCTATTTGTTCCAAACATCGCATCCAGTATTGCTGGTTCTTCAAAGAGCTAGCTCATTAGTTATGGGGCTTGTTGAAAGCATCTACTCGAGTGTATCGATAAACGTACCAGTCATCTCAACATTCAAAATTCCTATGTTTCTAGCCAGCAGCCTATTACGTAAACAGCTTTGTCAACTAATATATTGGAAAACTAATGCCAGGTTCAGTAAAGATAAATCAAAGGAGAAAGGTGGGGAGATTAGTGAAGCTAACGATCGATATAAGCTCAAACAATGGTGGTGTAGTCGCTTTCCTATGCCCTCCCCTCCTTTGAGGAAGTGTGGCAAGATTGACCGATTCCTGAGAGTCATGAACGAGCTCCTGCTGGCTGGCTAACTGGAGACAGCTTCTTAGAAAAGTAAAATAAGCCGATTGAAAGAACTTATGCCCGTAATGGATAGAAATAGAATTGGCTAACTCCACTCGTGGCTCCTTTATCTTCTTAATTGAAAGAAAACCAGTTTGGTTGTTCAAGTGAGCAGCTAGTTCACTACTATCGAATAGCAGGAAATTGACTTCAAAAAGAGGGAAAAATCTTTAGTCAATCCTGACCTTGTATCCCTTCTTTCTAAGTAAGGGTACCGGTTAGCAAATAGCCTGGCATTGATTAAAGTAAAGAACTTGAGGAAGGAAATGTATTCTCCGATCTCAAAAAAGAGGACCCTTGTGATCTTGGCTCTTTTCTTAGCGACTCTTCCTGGCTCTGAGTTTAAGACTAAAGCCCCCATCTCCTCTGTATTCCAATTGAAAAGCTGGTCTTAAGCCAGCGTTGAGTGCCTCCTGACTAAAGGATGACTTTAGCTTTCTTTACATTATCGTAAGCACAAAAAAACTATTCCCATTCCTTAAGCTCGCCAGCATACCGTCTTGATAGCTTAAATAGTGAAAAACGAGTCGTTGAGCATCTTTGTAAAGAGAAAGGCTCCTCCTGATCTGAGGAAGAAGAAGTAAAGTAGCGATATGCCAAAAATCGTCTGTTAGAATGAGTCAATCGAATCGTCTCGGATCTTGCCAGGAGTTAGTGTATTGATGCCGAGAAGTTTTTCTCTTTGCAGGAAAAAGGATTCGCAGGCGATACAGATGTGGATGAATGAATTAGCTGCGAAGTAGCAGCTGACTCGTGAAAAAGAGCAGTTTATTCTATTGGTCTAGAACCAGAATGTCGTATAGTGATCACAGCTTCTTCTGTATCAAAAAGAAGGTCAATCTTGACTTTACCAAACCTAATTCAACTGATTCACAATCTCCTTCTATTCATATTATATAAAAAGAATATATGAGACGAAGGGCATAATCTCTTTTTCTTTAGCAT